GCTGAGGAGGTGAAGCAGATTTTGGGGAGAGGGGTTTGAGGCAGGGGCCCAGAGATCCCAAAAGATCTTTATGGTCAGGGACAGGGAGTTGGGGGGGGAAAGGGGTTTAGGAGGGTAGAGAAGGGAGAATTTATCACGCATGTGGATTTTAATTTTTGTTCTAAGTGCCGGTTCTGTTTTTTAATCTTGTTAAGGGAGTCCCTAAGGATGACCTGAATGTTCGTTTGTGTCCTTCCAATTTGTTCTTAGGGACCAATAGGACATGTATTTAGGATAAGAGCTCTCTGGTATCTTTCTCAAATGTAAAAGTTTTTCCGAATCAAAGGATCCCTCATCTGGCCACTGATGAGTAGAATCCTCAAAAGGTTTACCCATCAACCCAATAAAGCCTGTTCATGGACAGAGCCCGAGATAATGTTCCTGGCTTAGAATACATGGTTGCCGTGAATACAAGAATCCCGAGATGGGTGCAGAAGATGCAGCCCCATGATCCAAAGGCCCCTCCCAAAGCCAGCCTCAGAGGGCAAAGCCCCTCGTCGCCACAGGGAGGTAAAACGGTGTTTAGGGAGACTCCTGTCTCTGGTCTCCCACAAAAATGAGACACCTCTAGTCAAAGGTCCAACAGTGTGTGACAACGGGCAGGGGATACCGGGACGGGACTGTTCCAACACGGGCCAGACCGGGCTCGAGACAACACAGCGTCTTGTGGACCAGGACCCTTATTGAGACGCACCCCCCTGAGGGCTGGCACGTCCCGCAAAGAAAATGCTGCTGGCTACTTTGCAACCAGGGTTCCTCGCCTGCTGACTAGCCACCCAACTGGCCTGATAATCCGCCCCCATCCCCACCCGCAGCTGGGGGAAACCAGAGCGTATTCTCGCTGGTCACAGAGCCAAGCTCTCAGGACAGCAAAGGAGACCGAGAAGACCCTCACTGGGTTTGTTTTTTATTAGTGACTCAGAGGAGTTTGTCAGGAGAGATGCCAGTCTGGTGAGAACCGTAAATTCACTAGCTGTGACACCAGCTGGCTTGGAGGACCTATGCCTTTTCTCTTTATGACAAACAACACAGAACCAGAGGCAAAGGAACACAGTGACCTCTGGGAGGAAAAGGATCAGTTAAAACCAAGAATACACAGAAAAAAACCCACAGGAGTTGCACCACCCAAGGAGCTAGTTCATACAAGTGTTTTCTCCAGCAAATAGAAATTTAGGAAGAAAGTATTAACTAAGATTCTGATACTCTGTTACTTAACGTGTAAAGTTTATGGCTGTTTCACAACTATCAATATAAAAATACCTACATGTTAAAAGTGAATAAAATATGACTTCTTATTTTAAAAAAAAAAAGGAAAGAGAAATGCCGTAGATAATTTCACTGCTTGGCTTGATCACACCCCACGCAGAGACTCAGGGGACTGAAAAGAATCCTTACCTTTTGCTGCTTTTTCAGGTCCCAGGAGCTCTCAGATGCAGCCTCTAGAGTGGGCAGATGTTCCAGCTAATGCTGCCTTATCCCCATTGCCAGAAAACAGAGGGAAGGGGAGACTTTCCTTCTGCCCTCCTAGGCTCAGTAAACTGACAAGCAGATTAACAGGAGAAAAGCCATACAAATTTATTAATTTTTAATTTCGCATGCACAGGGAAATAAAAAGCAGTGAGATCTGAGAGCCTTAATGGGGAGCGGGAGTGGGAGAGAAGCCACTTACGGGAGAGCAAATGTTTTTTGTAAAAGATACATGGGCCCTTGGGAGAGCAGAGAGGCAATTTGATAGTTTATGACAACGTCTGTCTGGGTGTGCTGTCCACTTCTAGTCTCTAGTCTCCTCTCCTGGGATAAGAGTCAGTCTTCCTGGTTGATGAAACTCCTGGGGAGGTGATTCATGACAAGTAAGTTCTTTTTTTTTTTCAGGATCTATTTTTAGGCAGATAAAGGGAGTTCAGAGAAAGGTTCCCCAGCAGCCACTCCTACCTCCCTTCTCTTTTCTCCTCTAAGCCAGAGGACTCACCATCTAGATGAACAAGATGCTAAAGGGAGTCCTTCAGGTTGAAATGAAATGAAGCTGAACAGTAACTCAAAGTCATATGAAGATATAAGTCCTCTGGTAAAGGTAACATATGGGCAAATGTAAAAACTAGTATTACTTTAATCTTGGTTGGTAACTCCACTTTTTATTTTCTATAGAATTTTAAAGGCAAGAGCATTTATTATTTATTTATAAATTATTATTACTGTAGTATCATACATGAACAGAATGAAGATGAAAAAAAACATGACCATGTCAATCAATGCAGGAAAAGCATTTGATGAAATTCAACTTTCTCATGATAAAAACACTCAACAAACTAGGAATAGGAAAAAATGACCTTAATGTAACAAGGCCATATATGAAAAAACTCACAGTGAACAATCATACTCAATGGTGAAAGATGGAAAGCTCTTCCTCCAAGATTGGGAAGAAGGCAAGGATGCTCACTCTCACCACCCTCACTCAACAGAGTACCGAAAATCCTAGCCAGAGCAATTAGGCAAGAAAAAGAAATTAAAAGGCATCCAAACTGGAAAGGAAGAAGAAAAAATATCTGTTTACCTATATGATCTTACATGTAGAAAACACTAAAGAAATCTGTTAGAACAAATAAGGGAATTCACAAAGCTGCAGGATTCAAAATAGACATAACAGTTGTGTTTCTATACATTTAACAATGAACAAATCAAAAAAATTAAGAAACAATCCATTAAAATAGCATCAAATATAATAAATAGGAATAAACTTAACCAAGGAGACAAAAGTCCCAGCAGTGTGTTTTTGCAGAAATATAAAAATATATCCTTAAATTCATATAGAATCTCAAGGGATCCTGAATAGCCAAAACAATCTTGATAAAGAACTAAGCTGGAGGACTCACCCTTCCTCATTTCAAAACTTGCCACAAAGCTACATAATCAAAACAGTGTGGTACTGGCATATGAACAAACATAGGCCAAAGGAATAGAACAGAAAACCTTGAAATAAATCCTCACATCTACGATCAATTATTTTCGACAGTGCCAAGAGCATTCCGTGGGGGAAGGATGGTCTTTATAGCAAATGGTGCTGGGAATACTGGATATTCACAAGCAAAAAAAAAATGAAGCTGGTCCCTTATCTTACATGCAAAAATTAAAACGAATAAAAGACCTAATGTAAGAGCTAAAACTATACAAATATTAGGATAATTGTGAAGATGGGAGAAAAATCATTAAATAAAAACTATTAGAAGAATACAAGGGAAAAAACAACAACAAAAGTAAACCAACACACACACACACACACACACACACGAAGAAAATTGGGAAATCTTCATGACTTTGGATTTTGCAAGGATTTCATAGATATGACACCAAAAGCACAAGCAACAACCAAAAAATAAATTAGACCTTATCAAAATTAAAAACGTATCAAATGATGCTATCAACAAAGTGAAAAGGCAATCCACATAAGAGAAGAAAATATTCACAAACCATATATATGATACGGTATTAATATCCAGAATGTATAACGAACTCCTACAACCAACAAAAAAACCCCAAGTAACCCCATTCAAATATCAACAGAAAACTTGAATAGACAATTCTCCAAAAAAGATACACAGACAGCCAATAAGCCCACGAAAGGATGCTCATCAAAGAAATGCAAATCAGAGAAAAGCACAATGAGATAACATTTCACTCCCATTAGGGTGGCTATTATTAAAAAAAAAAAACAGCAGAAAATAGCAAGTGATGACGAGGATGTGGAGAAATTGCAACCCTGTGCTTTGCTGGCAGGAATGTGAAATGATACAGCTGCTGTGGAGAATAGAAGTTCCTCCAAAAGTTAAATATAGAAATACAATATCCAACAGTTCATTTCCGGGTCTATACCCGGAAGAATCAAAAGCAGGGACTCAGACCCCTGCACACAAAGGTTCACAGTAGCTTTAGTAACACGATCCACAAGGTGAAAGCGACCCAAATGTCCATCAACAGATGAATGAATAAACAAAATACGGTGCATCTGCACAATGTAATAGTATTCAGCCTCAAATGGGGATGAAATTCTGAATCATACTGCAATATGGACTAACTTTGAAAGCATTATGCCAAGTGAAATAAGTCAGACACAAAAGGAAAAATATGTATGATTTTTCTTATATGAGGCCCCTAGAATATGCAAATTCATCCAGACAGAAAGTAGAGTACAGGGTTTATCTGGGGCTGGTGGAGAAAAGGCTGGGAAATGATCGTTTAATGCATCCAGTTTCTGTTTGGAATGATGAAATATTTCTAGAAGCGGATCGTGTTGGCGGTTGCACGACATTGTGAATGTACTTAAAGTCGCTGAATTGTGTACTTAGGGTTAAAATGGTGCATTTTATCTTGCCTGTATTTTACCACAATCATCATTCTTATCCTCATTATCTTCATTACTAAGAATAACTTTTTAAAATTGAATTTGAATACGGGGATGAGGAGCAAAGTCACGTTAAGCCATTGCGAAGGCTCTGGTTTTTACTCTGCCTGAGCAGAAAATCCGCACGTTTTTCTGACAAGCTGTTTTGACAAATTGACAAATCACACGAACTGGCAATTACTGTGTATCCCTCGTGGTTGGCGTTATGAAATCAGGCACCCACCAGCAGCTCTGGTGAGTTCAGCGACCCAAGCAAAGGGCGTCTGCGGGCACCCTTTGTCCGGTCCTGTCGGGTGAGCGCAGCGGAAACTGCGGCGCCTGCAAGGTCCGGGCGGACATTAAGCCCAGGGTGGCCTAATTAGATAGTAAGGGGCGGCGCTAGGGCTGATGGGAGGGACCGCCGCCTCGTAGGATAAAGTTGGGGGCGTGGCTTGAGTGAGGGGCGGGCCCAATGTGTGACGGGCAGTGTGGGAGGGGCTAGCGCGAAGCAGCCAAGCGGGGGTTGAAATAGCTGGGGCACTAGGCAGCCTAATTTTGGCCCAGGACGGGTAACTAGAGGGATGCAATGGAGTCAGGGTGGGACGCGCTGAGAATGCTGGGGGCGGTCACCGCCGTGTACCTGCTTCTGTGGGCCGCCTGTGGGGCGGGCTACACAAGTCTATGTTTACCTGCTACCACAGGCATGCCGGGGAGCCCCTTGGCTCCGCGCGCGGAGCCTGGGCAGGTAAGAGGCAAGAGCTCCGCCCGACAGGTAGGAGTAGGGACCGCAGGAACGAGGACAGGTGACAGGTGAGGGCCCCCCAATCAGGGCAGAGGCCGGGGGACTCCTGGAAGCAAGAGCGATGAAGGGTGGGATGACCAGGGAGAGGCCGGCGTGGGAGGCATACAGTCCTCAAAACCGTACAGATGTGGGGAGCAGGTGTCAGAGACCTGGGCAGATGAAGGATGAGGACAAGAACAGGGAGGGGTTAGGTGTCAGTGAGAGGGCTTCCTGGAAGAGGCGCAAGAAGGGCCTGGAGGGAGCGTGGAGAGGCAGCAGGGGGAAGGATCTGGGGTGGGCTGAGGTTGGGCAGGGCAGTGGCGGCCTGGCCCTCCTGCTGTTCCCCCTTCTCTCTTCTCTAGTGGTGACAGGAGCCACCAGCGGCATTGGCAAGGCCTATGCACACGAGGTGAACCAGGACTTGGAGCCTAGTGGGTGGTGGGGGCTTCTCCTGTCTGTCTGCCTGCTGTCAGCTCCCCCCACTAAACTGAGAATTGTGTGCATCATCTGGGCCCTCAGATGTCCTCTCTTCCAGGAAGCCTTCCCTCTGCTCACCAGGCTGGGGCAAGAAGTGTTTACACTGGGCTTCTACAGTCCCTTGACGTTCTCCCATCATTGCCCTGATTTATTATATTTATTGACAACTTATATGTGTCGATGCTGGGGCTACAGCAGTGAAAAAAAAATAGATTTAGTAAATAAAAGCCCTTGCCCTCCTGGAGTTTACTTTCGAGCTATTGCGTCCGCGGGGAATAGTCTTCCCTGGAACGCATGATCCACGAAGGCCGGCTTTTGTTTTTGCCTGTTGTTCATTCACACTTCTCCACAGAGCCTACAACACTGCGGCACGCAGTAGCATACAGTACGTATTTGTGGAATTAGTGATTAAATAAGTAAATCTCCTGCAGCTCGCGCGGAGAGGTCTGAACGTTGTTCTCATCAGTCGAAACCTGAGCAAGTTGAAGCACCAGGCAAAGAAGACAGGCCGAGAGGCCGGGCTGGGAAAGTTCAGGAGCGGCGGGGGGCAGACGGGGGCGTGGCCGGGGCGTGGTCAGGGCGGGGCAGGTGTAGGAGGAAAGGGCTTCGGCCGCACTTGGGGCCCGGGAAGTTGGTGGAGGGCATAGGGCTGACCTGGGACAAGGGTGGGATAGGGGCGGAACTGGACTAGATTCCAGCTTAGAGCCGGGCTCCTGTTAGCCCCCTTCCCAGAGCGGCTTCATGGCAGGATCACACGAGTCATCCAGGCCGACTTCACCGGGGACTTGGAGATCTACGAGGCCATTGAGGCGGGAGTGAAGGACCTGGAGATGGGAGCGCTGGGAATGTCCCCACACCTGTCCCAAACAGCTCCATGCTCACCTGACTCGGAACCGTCTTATGGTCGCCCTCCACCCCACCACCCCCTCCGGTCTCCCTGGGACTGTTGGGGTGACACAGACTTGTCCCCTCTCGCTCCGTGAATATGTGGGCATAAGATATTGCAGACCGCTTGCAGAAGCTACTCGAGTGTGAGAACATAGCCAAAGTGAGTCAAACGGAGCGCTGGCCCGCCTAGCACCGCTTCCTTACACTACTGCCCTCTGTCGGAAGACTCACACAGTACACTAGCTCTGTTAGAACAAGGTACTTCATCTCTTTCCGCTGTAAAATGGTCTCAAAAGCTACAAATCTGTGGTTTAGGATGTGAAGGAGGTCCCCTTTCATGGGCCACCCTTCTGTAGTGCCCAACCCATGTAACTGTTCAAGTGGAACTGGGTTCTGCCCTTTTATCCTCCCCAGTGCCAACTTGAAGGGGGAATGACCCACATGGGAAAACCAGTGCCTGCCAGTGGAGCGTGTGGTTTTCTAAATTTTTATTTAGGATCATTCTTGAACCTCTGGCTTCTTTTCTGTTCATCCCCTGTACGCCTATCCCTATACTTCTTCTGGTGGGAACCACATGGTCTTTTATTCCTCAGTTTCAGCTGCTGACCTCTTTTACTAAATATTTAGTTTAAAAAAAAAATCCAAGTTGTAGAGTCAGGAGTTCTTCAAAGGTAGTTCGACGAGAAAATGGCATCCTCCATTCTCATTTCCTGTTCCACAGGGCAGGGTTTCTTGACATCTGCCTGCTGACATTTGGGGCCCATGACTCCTTGTTGGAGCGGGGGCTGACTGTGCTTTGTAGGATGTCTGGTAGCTTCCCTGATCGCTACCCAGTACATGCCCAGAGCACCTGCTCTCCGGCTGTGATAACCAAAAATATCTCCACGTACTGTCAAATACGCCGCAGGGAACAAATCACACCTGGCTGAGAACCACTGCCCTAGAAGCTACCACTCTCAGCTTTTTAAAAATGATAACTCATGCTTTTAATGACATCTTGATTTCTCAGTTTTAGCTCTTATCTGGCGACTCCCACAATGGAAAATGAGGATTATTTCTCATTCACAGATACCTGTGTCCACACCACAAATGAACACCCTCCCAGGCCTCCCATCCCCCACTGTAATTCATAGATGTGATTTCAGAATCACATTACTGCACATATGAAAACACTGGCTACCGTTGAGCCATGTAGTAAACTATGATGATTTTTTTTGTAGATAATTATTTTTTATTAAGGGGTAGTTGACACAGTATTACATTAGTTTCAGGTGTACAACACAGTGATTCAACATTTATATACATGATAATTCTAGCTACCAGCTATCACCATACAAAGTTGTTACAATATTTTGACTATATTCCTTATTCTATACATTACATCCTGCTTATTTATTTTACAATTGGAAGTCTGTACTTTTTTTTTGTGTGTGAGGGCATCTCTCATATTTATTGATCAAATGGCTGTTAACAACAATAAAATTCTGTATAGGGGAAGACTCTGATGATTTTTTTCCTTTCTTTAATAAGGTTTTATTCTCCCTGAAGTTAGTCATACTTTTTCATCTGCTTGGTTTACTATATACTTATTGCTACTTCAACTCCAAACTGTAATCCAAAAATATGAAAAAGTTCAAGTAATTTCATCTTCTTGAAAAATCTCTCCAAGAGCCTTTTCTGTCTTCTGTCTGGAATGGTAACCCTCTGCTGTGAATCCTGGGACCTCCCTTTATCTTTCTCCCAGGAAGCCTCTGTCTTCTCTCTCACATGGCATAGTGTTTTTTTAGTTTGATCCCTCATTATGTTGGAGCATATCCTCTAGTAGTCTCCTGGGAAAGGATGCATGGATGATAAAATATTCAGATCTGTTTTCCATCAGTTATGTGACTTTGGATAAATGACATCATTTCTTTGAGCCTCAGTTTCCTATCTATAAAATGGGAATAAATATTTTTGCTGGCCTCATGGGGCAGTTACGACAATGGGGTATACAATAAAGCACATAAACCTAAGTTGTGTGATCCATAAATGTTGACTATTGTTATTACACACAGACAAGACAAAAGAGTAGGATGGTTTAAAACTTTTTAATTTTAACTACTGTTATTTAAAAAGTCATGCATATGCTCATTTTATAAAATTTAAGAGAGGCTAGCTATGCATTCTACCTCTGGTGTTAGAGGAAGTTGTTTGATGCAAATCCTGCAAATGAGAACAATTAGGGAAGCTGGCTAAAATGTTTTCAAAATAGCTGTTTGAAGACAGCATAGAAGAAAGGCAGTAAAGAAGTGTAGCACCAAAATTGGAGAGCAGAGGGAATCCAAGAAATCAGACATTCGCAGCAACATTTCCCTTCAAGATGTCTGAGTTTAAGAAGTTAAGCAGAGCTTTCAACATACTGTTGGTGCTGCAACAAATAAGGGAGTTCAAAATCTTGGAAAATAACCCAGGCTTTTGATTGAGACTCTGGAGCACTATAATCTAGGAGCTAGGGTAAAGTAGAAATAAACTAGGCTTCACAGGAATTCAAGCCTCTTTAGGTTTCAGACGATCTTAATCTCTGTGGGGATTAAGGTTTGATCTTTCAGCGCCCTCTAGTTTAACTGCCTGGAAAAAGCAAAAATGAAAGGACAAAAAAGCGAAAAAAACTCAACCACCATCTTCAGAGGAAAACAATATGGTCCAGAGCCCCAAACTAGCAATACATTTGTTTATATTAAATATCCAGCACTCAACAAAATATGCCCAGAAATATTAGAAGAGAAATCATGACTGAAAACACAAGAAATAATAAAAATGTTGACAGGTCCACAGGGGACCAAGAATTATCATCACAGATTTTTAAAATTCTTTGTGCCATTTATATAAAACATAAACATTACCATTTTAACCATTTTAAAGTCTACAGTTCAGTGACATTAAGTACATTCACAATGTTGTGCGACTGTCATCACTTCCCATTTCCAAAAATACTTCAGCATCCCAAACAGGAACTCTGGACCCATTAAACAGACATTCCCCAGTCTTCCTTACACCATTCTCTGGTAACCTGTATTCTACTTTCTGTGTCGATGAATATGCTGATGTTAGATACCTCATAAAGTCACAAAATATTTTCCTTTTGTGTCTGACTTCTTTCACTTAGCACAGTATTTTCAATTTCATCCATGTTGCAGCAAATGCCATAACTTCATTCCTTTTATTTTTCCATTTTTTACTGTGGCAAATATATGTAATGTAGAATTTGCCATTTTAGCCTATATTTAAGTGTACAGTGTAGTGCATTATGTACATTCACATTGTTGTGGAACTATCACCTCCACCTGTCTCCAGAACTTTCTCAATGTATCCTGTCCCCCTTAAACAATAACTCCCCATTCCTTCCTCCCCCCAGCTCCTGGAAATCACCATTCTACTTTTTGTCTCTATAAATTTGACCATTCCGGGTACCTCAGATAAGTGGAATCATAGTTATTTCTTTAGCTTTATTTCATTTAACGTAATATTTTCAAGGTTCATCCATTTTGTAGCATGTCACAATTTCCTTCCTTTTCAAGGCTGAACAATATTCCATTGTATGTATATGCCGCATTTACTTTATCCATTCATCCACTGATGGACACTTGGGTTATTTCCACCTTTCAGCTATTGTGAATTTTGCCTCTATGAACATTGTATACAAATATGTGTTTGTGTCCCTTGCTTTGAATTCTTTTGGACATGTACCCAAAGTGGAAATGATGGATGCAAGATTAGTTTGGCTATGCAGGGTCTCAGATGCCATATGAATTTTAGGGTGGCTTTTGCTATTTTGCAAAATATGCTGTTCGGATTTTGAGAGAGATTGAATTGAATCTATAGATTGCGTTGGGTAGTATGACATCTTGGCAATATTAGGTCTTAAAATTCATATGCATGAGATGTCTTTCCAATTACCCAATCTCTTTCAGAACTGTTTTGTAGTTTTCAGTATGTATGTCTTTCTTCCCTGGTTAATTCCTAAGTATATTTATTCCTTTCGATGCTATTGTAAATGGAGTTGTTTCCATAACTTCCCTTTTGAAATCTTACTTGTTAATGTATAGAAATGCAACTGACTTTTTGTGTTGATTTTGTATTCTGCTGCTTTGTGAATTCGTTTATTAGTTCTCACATTTTTTGGTGGAATCTTTAAGATATTCTACATATAAGATCATATTATCTGTGAACAGAGATAATTTTACTTCATCCTTCGCAATTTGGATGCCTTTGGTTTCTTTTTCTTGCCTAATTGCTCTGGGTAATCTTTCCAATGCTACGTTGAATAGAAATAGTAAAAGCAGGAAATGGTTTAGATATTTCACCATTGAATATGATGTTAGCTGTGCGCTTGTCATGTGTTTATTATTCATATCTGTATTGTGTTGAGGTACTTCTATTTTAGTTTGTTGAGTGTTCTAATAATGAAAGGGTGTTGAATTTTTTTAAATTATCAAATATATATCACAATGGTTCAACAGTTCTCCTCCCTCTCCCCCTTGGTAACCACTATGTTCTCCATGCTGTACTATCATCCCCATGACCAATTTATATTGTGACTGCAAATTGTCAGGCTCCTTTATCCCCTTAACCCTCACCCCCACTGGCCCCAACCCCTCCCCCTGGGTGACCACTAGTCCCTTCTCAGCGTCTATGAGTCTTCTGTTATTTTCTTCCTTCTGTTTTGCTTTGTTTTTATACTCCGCAAATAAGTGAAATCATATGGTATTTGTCTTTCTCCGCCTGGTTTATTTCACTGAGCATAATACCCTCTAGATCCATCCCTGTTGTTGCAAATGGCAGGATTTATTTTACTTTTTATTGCTGAATAATATTCCATTGTGTATATGTACCACATCTTCTTTACCCATTCATCTATTGATGGACAGAAAGGGTGTGGAATTTTGTCAAGTGCTTTTTATGCATCAATTGAGGAGATCATGTGGCTTTTCCTTTATTCTCCCAGCATTCTGTTGTATTACATTAGACAATTTTTG